TGCAATGGCGCGATCTCGGCTCACCGCAACCTCCGTCTCCTGGGTTCAGGCAATTCTCCTGCCTCAGCCTCCTGAGTAGCTGGGATTACAGGCACGTGCCACCATGCCCAGCTAATTTTTTGTATTTTTAGTAGAGACGGGGTTTCACCATGTTGACCAGGATGGTCTCGATCTCTTGACCTCGTGATCCACCTGCCTCGGCCTCCCAAAGTGCTGGGATTACAGGCTTGAGCCACCGCGCCCGGCGCTATTTTTTAAGTTTTTAAGATCTAGCTTGTATTTACCCTTTCATCTTGTCTCAATTTGGAAGAACCAGCCACATTTAAAGTGCTCAGTATCCAAATATAGCTAGTGGTTACAATATTGGGCAGTTCAGCTTTAGAATCTCATGTATATAGGCTGGGCGGAGTAATCCCAGCACTTTGGGAGGCTGAGGCAGGCAGATCACCTGAGGTCAGGAGTTCAAGACCAGCCTGGCCAACATGGCAAAACCGCATCTCTATAAAAAATTAGCCAGGCATGGTGGCAGACACCAGTAATCCCAGCTACTTGGGAGGCTGAGGCAGGAGAATCGCTTGAACCTGGGAAGCAGACGTTGCAGTGAGCCGAGGTCACACCCCTGCACTCCAGCCTGGGTGACAGAGAGAGACTCTATCTCAAGAGAAAAATAAAAAACACTTTTAATAGGTAGGGGGTTTTTTTATTAATTTATTTGTCTTATTGCAGGGGTCCCCAGCCCCCAGGCTGCAGACTAATACCGGTCCATGGCCTGTCAGGAACCAGGCCACACAGCAGGAGGTGAGTGGCTGCGGGCAAGCGTTACCGCCTGAGTTCTGCCTTCTGTCAGATCAGGAGTGGCATTAGACTCTCACAGGAGCATTAACCCTAGTGTGAGCTGCACACGTGAGGGATCTAGGCTGCCAGCTCCTTATGAGAATCTAATGCCTGATGATCAGAGGACGAACAGTTTCATCCCGAGATCATCCCACTCACCCCAATCCATGGAAAAATTGTCTTCCACAAAACCAGTCCCTGGTGCCATAAAGGTTGGAGACTGCATGCTTATCACTCTGCCTTATCTATATGGAAGACAGACTAATTGAAGGAGAAAGCAATTGCCCTTTGGGGCCAGAAGATGGAGGGCCTTGAATTATTGCTATGTTAGACGTCAACATCTTCAGTATCTATTCCCTTTCCCAATTTTCCTTTGGAAATTTTTCTTCCCCATTTTAAGCCACATGGTAGCTTGGGTGGGAGTGACCACATCCTCAGGTTAAAATTGTTTAATTACCATCAGTTTAGGCCAAGAAGATCCAAGAATGAACGTATTGGGGTTTTGGGGGAAGAATCCCCTTCTCTTTTCCATAGAAGCTACCAAACAGTGGTGGTTCTCTCTTCCTGACTTCTTCTAAATTACATGAAGTCTAAAATGACGGCAGCTGTCACTCAAACATTAGAAGAGTGGGCCTGGCAACAACGCTGACATGGAGGAGCGCAG